AAGCCACATGATTCTGGATTTGAAAACAATTACCATACAGTGGTACCTCAGCTCATGGACATAATTTGTTCTACAGTTTTGGAAAAGATGGCCTGGGTCATGTTTGTCAAACGTTGCAGTTCGCAAACAAAAATAAACATTTGGCAAACGATTGTGTTTTCAAACCAATTTGTTTACAAATACAAGCATTTGTGAACCAATGAACAACCACATATAGCAGTGGGATAGGTGGAACTAAAATATCAAGCTAATAATATATTTATTGTTTCCCATGATATGATTCCTAAGAGAACAATAGCATCACAATCTTTAAGCCTAACTAGTTAGTTGACAAAAAGTCATATAATCTGTCTGTACTTTGTACAGTTTGGGATTTCTTGTTTATTTTTTTTCTGGGATGGAATTCAGTGATTTTATTTACTCTGAAAACCCTTAACCAATCCAACCTAGAAAAGTTCTCAGAAGTACATTTCTTGCCAACAGTTACACACGTCCTTCCACCCATGGTTGGCATTAATTGTTGCAAAAATACTGAGTAATTCTTCAAGTTACTTTTATTACTTTCTCAGGATTAAATCAAAATGAAATGCAACTACTCTTCCAAAAAGAAAACATATAGAGTTTAAAATATTCTGGAGTACCTTCAGAGTCAAAGTATTGTTGCCTTGGACAAAACAGCAGGATATTTTGCATACAATGTGAGCTCCACTACTAACGTGTGCTATTCCCTATCTGAGATACAGTTGAAAAGAACGCAGGAGTTGATTGGATGTTCAGTGTTGTCAAGGAGCACTTGTCGCAGGTGTGAGTATTCCTAAAGGAGGTTAATCGATGCACTACAGATTCTTGGATTATGTGGTATAATCAGATCATGATGAACAAGGGATTAATCTATCAGTGAATACCATGAGCAGCATTTCTATTTAAAATATACAAAACAGGGCCAGCCAAATAGCTCAGCAGATTAAAGTGCCTACAAGCAGGCATAGGGGTCAGGGGTTTGATCCCCAGGCCTGCCATGCCAGCCCCACCCCAGGGCATGCTGAGATGTCAGTTGAGACTGGGCATGGTGGCGTGTGCCTGTAATCCCAGCAATTCGGAGGCTGTAAATAGGAAAATCACTATGTGTCTGATCTAGTAGTGAGACCCTGAATATCCTGCAGGCCCTTCCCTAAAATACAGAAATAAATAAAATGTACAAAGCAATTATCCAGCTCCATTTTTTAATTTTAATAAATGAATATTTTTCTTTTCACTGAAAAAGTTATATAGGGACTTTGAGTCAAGATTGTACAATAAATTGGCAATTTCATGCAACCTGCTGCTCCTAACTCCTAACCGTTCTGAAACAGTTGATCTGATATAAAAACAGAAACCTCATGTGGCACACCAGGGCTTTAAATAATATAAACATTTCTATGGAATTAATAAAAATATAAAGCAGAAGGCAAGAGCTGCAACTACAGGCTCACTGAGCTCTGCTTTTGGAAAGATTTGCTCAGAAACAAGTTCCTAGAAGATGGGCTGAGGAGATAGCTCAGTGGCATAAGTGCCTACCTGGCAAGCACAAGGTCTTGAGTGCAATCCCTGGTTTGAACTCACTCACACACACATACAGAAAGAAATGACCACAAGTTCCTAGAGAAGACAACCTAGTTTTGCTTTGGAAATCATTTGAACTCCAACTCTCATTTCTGACTGTTTTCTCACTTTTTTTTTTTTTTGTGGTACTTATTCCAGCACTTATTCCACTGAACTATCTCCCCTGCCCCACTTCCTTTGTGTGTGTGTGTGTGTGTGTGTGTGCGTGTGTGGTCTTTTTTTTTTTTTCACTTTTTGTTATGACCTTTTTAAATCTCTCAGAGTATATGTGTTTTTTTGTTTTGTTTGGTGGAACTGGGGATTGAACTCAGACCTTTGCACTTGCCAGAGAAGCACTTATCCTACCGAATCATCTCCCTGGCCCCCAGAGTATATGTGTTAATGCTAATTTCATGTAGCTTTAAAATTTTTTGTTTCTCCAATTATTGTCATTTACTCCAATAGTATGTTTATTTTTCTTGGCATTTCTGTTCTATGTTGTTCCTTTCCTTCTCCGTGACTTAAGAATCAAAGACTGCAGGACTATGAACCTGTTGTGGCTTTCGTAACTTGGGTTGAATTAGTAGGTTGATTTTCCTGAGTGAGAAGGAAACTTCTCACTTTTGGAGTGAGAAGTCATAGCAGAAGCATTTCAAAACAGTATCAATTTAGATTTCAACATAATGTCAGTTGTTATCCCAGAGCAGGATAACCTTTCAAATGCCAAAGAAGACAAATGTATTGAGAGTGTGAACATTCACACTCAATGCCTTAATGTCTCCCATGACATTTTGTTCAACTTGGAGAGGAAACAGCCCCAGCTTCTCACGGAAGGAAAGTCACTGGTGGCTTGTGATGGGCAGAAGCAGGATGCAGGAGCCGAGAGGCCACATACTGGCTTCAGGGCACCTCCTGCTTGCTTGGAAATCTCGTAAGAGCATCCAGGAAGTGGCTCTCCTATTAACAGATAACCAGGAGGTGATATATGAGGACAGTATTATCTCCAGCTTCCCTCCCAGTGATGAAAAAGCTCCACTGACTCAAGATAAAATGCTAGACTTTGAGCTTTCACAGGATAATCATTTAAGAAATTTACTACTAACAGGACACTTGGTGGTCTTTTCCCAAACTGTATTTTCCATTATGTCACTCCAAATTCTTTCTACAAAATCTGCTCATAAACCCTGTTGACAATGTGAACACTCACCCCACAAATGGAGCCCCCTACAGAACTTCTGCCCTGGTCAGGGGTCACGGGGCAGAGGGAGACTCAAGCTCACTATTGCTAATGGAAAGTAGCTCCGTGTACAATGTCCTCAGTGGACTGGATGTTTGGGTCATGCTCATTTATGAAACTACACCATCATTAGTAGAGTTGATCAGCTTTTCTGCTTTGTCTTGATATCTCTATCCAAAATGGAAAAGCTAGCCCAGAATGTAATTATAATTTTAAAAAATTGATGTGTGAAGCACTTACACATGATAAAAGACAGGTATGCAATTGAAGTCTCACAAAGAAAAAGCAATATCGGACAAAATTCCATATTTGCTGAGGTTGAAAGACAAAAACAAGCTTGACTAACGTGCCTAACTGAGTGACAAGCAAGAGGCGTGGCATCAGCTGCACCAAGCGCTATCTGGAAAAAGACTGTCCTCTCTCTAGTGTCATCAATTTTCATACCTAATATTATCTGTCAGCCACTGTACTCAATACTCTTGACCCCCAAAAGTGACGTCAGTGTAAAGTATGTGGCAAGGAAAAGAAGAAACCCAGACGAGCCACCCTGGGAGCCGTGCGGGCCCTATGAGAAGGTTGTTGGTCACTTCCCACATGCTGAAAACACAGCATCAGTGCAGCTCACTGTCCAGCCGTGCTGCACCAAATTGAAGGGAACCTTCCCAGGAATTGGCCTCCCGGGAATGGGGAAAACCATCCCTTCCGCACCAACAGCCAGCGAGAAGGGAAAGCTGTTTCCACAATATCACATTTTCAAAGGCTTAGCAGGGCACACTCTGTGGAAAGAAGTTTGAATTTGTCAAAAAAGGGGATACAAAGGAAAGAACATTTTGTATTTGTATATACAAAATAGGATAGATATACAGCTACTTTTGCTTAATTCAATGAGAAGAAAGAGGTGTACTAATAGTGTTTGGACAGGATATCCTGTCTGCTTCTTGTACTATGGATAACCACAAAGAAGATAACAATGTACAATGTATTGATCATTGAAACTGTCTTATTTAAAAAAAATGAATTTGTCTTCACCCCTTGCCAGTTGGATCTTGAGCAAATGAGTTAAACTCATTAAGCTTCAATTTTCCCACCTGTACAATGGGCTGGTGATTTGTTCCTTATACAGTGATATTGCAAATACTTCCATAGTTATATTAGAATATATATATATATATATATTATATAGTACAGAGGTGAATCAACCCACTTTATAGACAAAACAACTGTTTGAGGGCTGGAGAGATGGCTCAGTGGTCTAAAGCACCTACTTGGAACAAGCTTGGCAAAGCACAGGGACCGCGGTTCAATCCTCCAGCACCACATGCCAGCCAGCCCCGCCCCCTGGTGGGCTGAGCTGGCCACACACACACACACACACACACACACAATAAATGTTAAAATAAAAAAAATAATAAAATAAAAACAACTGTTTGAAGGATAAGCATGTAAGTAGTGGAACATCTGAAGGGAGAAATGATTGTTGTACACAATTGCTTTGCATAATATAACTGGTGTAAGAATCTTGACATTTGTGTATATTCGGAAACACAAAAAAATGGAAACATGAAGAAAAGGATAAACAAAATGGGGCTTCCAAAATTAAAAAACAGTAAGTGAAAGTATTGTTTTTCGGGGAGGGGCAAAAAAAAGTATTGTTTTTCAAAAGAAAATTGCTGAATTATCACCTTGTTTTTTAAAAAGATTTTTAGTTTCTCATACTTTTAAAAAATGCCTTGGCTCCCCCACTGCTGTCCCAGGAAGCAGGACCCTGAGCCGCTCAGTGCTTGCTTGCTGTCTCTGGGCCCCTCCGCCCTCCCTGTCTGCGCTAGGGCCTCAGCTGCCCTTCTCTGCTTCTCAAGATGGCTCTGCACAGCTATTCTCAAACATTTATGTTGATGTGCCTAGGACCTCGCTTTGGCCGTATAGAGCAGTTTTCCCTTCCAAACATTCAAGGACCCGTGCGAATGGGCCTCTCCATGTTCGCTATTTCCCCTGTGTCCTCTCAGACCACATTTTCTATATTACTCGATGTATGATCACGTTGACAGGCTCTGGTAACTAAATGGGCTGTTCTTCTCCATTATGATGTGATGTGAAAAACAGACACACCAAAAGCTATTTTAAACATCTGAAAATTAATCTTAATTGCACAGACAGTCAGTTTGGAAGTGTTAGTGGGACTCACGGGCTTTCCGCTGCGGGAGGTCCTCTGTATGGAGGTGAACTGATGCACAGCGAAGCACACTAGGTAAGTGCTCATGGGGACAGATTTCTGGAATGTTGTTCGAATCCAGTTGTCATGCATTGCCTCTGTTTTCTATGGAAAACAAAAAAGAAATCTTTTATTTGTCAAAAGAGTAATCTTGGGGCTGGGGATATGGTAGAATCCTTGACTACCAAGTTGGAAGCCCTGGGTTCGGTCCTCAGCACCAAATCTCCATCACTCCCTAACCCCAAAATAAAGAGAGTAATCTTGTCCAAGATGACTTCAAACTCAATTCTGTAGTCAGAACTCTTTTGTCAAATCTTAGAAGTAAAATTATGGTACTACTCTAAAGAATGAAGAAAATTTACTTAATTTTCAGTTCTGTGAGTGTAGCCATCAGATTTTTACGGAAAGATAAAATTCTGAGTGTTACATCCCTCAACAATCCTGAATATTCTCCGTCTCACATGAGATCTGGATCTAGGAGAAGGCAAAGAGGCATAAATCTGTGAAACGCAAAGCCATCTTAAGTAGAGGCAAGTTTGTTCTCCTCCTCCTGCTTTCACTTCCCTCATTCCTGCCAACACTTCCTGGCAGCGCTGAGCCCTAAGCCCGTGTCCTGGGTGGATGTGTCACACTTTGAGCACATCCTTTCCTCCTCCCTCACCAAACCCAACTTACTAGCTCAGGCGCAGGACACCAGAAGCAACCAAGTTGATAAAGCACACACAGGCGTGGGCGGCTGGTGAGGGCTTACATTTTTTTTTTTTTTTTT